CTTTCTTGCTCGGAGCCACCCCTTGGCTGCCCACACCTGGCTCGGCAGGTGTCCTCCATTCTTTGGCAGCTCAGTGACTTTGCTAGTCTCTGATGCTGTTCCACTGGATGCTGCATGGAGCATCTTGCTGGGAATCAGTCTCCTACAGCTGTTTCCTCACCTGTTCTTCTTTCTTTCAATCACAGACGCTCCGTTCTTCCCCGTGTTCTCAGCTGGTGATCTTTCTTGTCATTTCACTGGGAAAGAAGCAGCAATCAGAACAGGATTCCCTCTCTTTTCTCCCACCAAATCCTATCTGCCTTTCCTCCCTGCGGATTTCCTGTGCCTGCTCTTCTAAAGGCCAGTGCTCCCCTTGTGCATTGGATCCCATTTTCTCTGTCTGACTCGGACTTTTTCTTGCAAGTATTCCACTTCTGTCCCACATGAATTCCTCCGCTTCTACTGGATCTGCCTGTCAGCATACAATCTTGTTGGAATAACACTCACCTGAAAAAAACCCAAAACCCTCTTTGATGCCCTCATCTTCTTCCAACTCCTTCCTCATGTCGTTGCTCTCTCTCTATAGCAAATTTCCTGGAAAGATAATTTGTTCTTGTTGTCTCCCCTTTCTTTTCTCTTCTTTCCTCTTGGACTTACTCCAATGAGGGTTTTGTCCCCATCATGCCACTGAAACTGCATTTGATAGTGTCACCAGTGACCTCAGTGTGGTCAATTCTCAGTCCTCACCTTGACCTTTTAGGAACAACTGAGACTGTTATCACTCCTTCCTTTTGAAACATACTTTCATCGCCTGGCTCTGGGATGCCTCAATTTCTGGTTTTCTTCTTCTCAGCCTTCTTTGTAGTACTTTGTGTTCGGCAAAAGTCCTTTGCTGGTGCTGCTTTCACTACCCACCTGTGAGCACTGGAATACCCCAGAGCTCCTTGCACTCTGTCACTTCCCCATCTACGTTTATTCTTCGGATGACCTATGATGTTCAGTGGTTTTAAACACTATCCACTTATATTTCCAACCTTAACCTCTTCCCTGAGCTCAAGATGTTTCCATTAAACTGCTTACCCATTATTTCTATTTGAAAGACCAATATACAGCTCAAATGTAACATAATCAAGACAGAATTCTTGATTTTTCCCTCACCAAATCTGTTTGTCCCTGAGAAGTCACCACTGTTCACCCCAGGGGCTTAAGCCAAAAACCTAGGTGTCATTCTTGAGTTCTTTCTTACGAAGTATACATGTCCAATCTTGAACCTGCTCTTGTCATTTCTACTTTCAAAACACCAACTCTATCCATTTTTCACTGTCTCTACTGCTGTTATCCTAGTCCAAGCTACTATCCAGCTTTGCCCTTGGCCTCACCTCTCAGGTATCCATTCATTCAGCAACTACCTGTGAGACCCCAACAATGTGCAGGGCACCATTCTTGGTGCTGATTTTGCTGCAATGAATTAGTCAAATGAACATCTCTGCTCTCAAGGAACTTAGATCCTATCTCAGAGAGATGCCTCCTTATTGTCCTCCCTGATTTTCTCTCTCCCTTCTCTTCAGTCTATTCTTCATATAACAGCCTGAATATTCTGTTAAAATATCTATGTAAGATCAAGTTGTTCTCCTGTGGAAAGCTCTTTAGTGGCCTCTCTGACCTCATCCCCTCAGTGTTCCCCCCACTTAGTCCACGTCCCTCCGCCCCAAGCACACTGAGCTTATTCCAGCTTCCTGGACTTCGCACCCACTGTTCTCTCTGACTGGGAAGTTCCTCCTTCATCTCTTTGTGTGGCTTACACCCTCACTGCATTCAGACTCTGATAAATATCACCCAAGAGAGTTTCCCTGAGCACCCTTTCTTACACAGCTGCCCCTCGTCACACGCTATCCCTTGACCTTTGTTTATTTCCTTTGAAGCTTTTACCACTGCTTATCATAATATATACTTGTTTATCTGAATTTGAATTAATTCTTTCCCACTAGAATACAAACTAATTGAGGTAAAAGATTTTTCTCTCTCTTGTTCCCTGTTCTTTTTCCAGTACTCAGAATATTGCTTGCCACATGATGGGCATTGAATAAAAATTTGATGTGTAAACGAATTAATGAATGAAAAAACTTCATCTATCATAATGGGGAAAAATCCCACTAAATTTGGCATTAAGAGAACTGGGTTATAATCCTGGTTCTGTCATTGACTAGTTATGAGACATTTCGCAAGTCGTTTCGATCTCCTTGGTTCCATCTCTGTACAATGAGAAGTTTGGACTAGAGGGAGCCGAAAGATCCCAATTCTGACATTCTTCAATTCTGTGCGCGTGGTGCCTTCACACTAGAGACCAACTCCCACGCCCTATTTGGCCAAAACGGGACTGACGGCATTTTTTTCTAGAGCTTCTGGGAAGTAGACGCAGGATTTTTCTTTTCTCTGGATCCTGTCAGGGTTGAGATCCTTGCCAGGAGGGAAGTCACAGCCTTTGCGTCTGCACAAACATTTCAGTCAAGAACCTCCGCGAGTTGCCTACTGAAGGGAAGGAGCCAGAGTGGGGAATATCACAAGGGAAGAGATTCAGTGGTGCTTTGATCAGAAAGTTCATTACATTTGCTTTCGATCACAATGCATACTCACTCATGTCTGCAATCACTTACTCTGTTAGGCAGAAATCCTAGTGGGAAAAATAGCATGTGTGCACGACTCCATCTGTGTGAGCCCCTGCCAGAAACATTTATGAATCACTCGTCTCCTGATAGACAACTTGCTTTTCTAGTTTGCAATCATATTTCCCACAGATGTTGCCTTTGAATTAGCCATTGTCTCATTTGGTTTTGAATGTTTTCTCCTTTTGAGACTGTAATGTGGGCAGATCCCACCTACCATCAAAGCTGGCAGTACTCGTTCAACATTGAAGGAAGGAGACAGTTGGGTGATGCCGGGGAGCTGGAGTCCAGGAGAGCGATAGACACTCTGCACAGCTTGGAGTTGGGCATTTCTCAAGTCCTGGCGTCAGGGATGTTTACTCTCAGGTTATGCAAAGTCCCAGCTTGGGTTCTGGAAAAAATGAGCTGACAACTTTGCCTGAAAGGTTCTTGCTAATTCCTGGGGACATCTTGCTTTTATTAGACCACAGCTCTTGTCATGTTGTCTATCCTGAGCGGTGAGGGTGTCACTCCCTGTGTAGAACCCATTCCTATTGTGGCCTTTATTGTCTGGCAGTTGGTGTTCAGTTAAACATCAAACCAGCTGATAGCCGTATCATCTGGATCTCAGATGTTACTGAGAAATTTTGGAAGGTAAATAGATTTTCCTTTGGCAAATTTAGAGGTTAGGACACTATATTTACAGAAATATCTTATCTTCACTTTCAAGTCACACTGCCATTCCGCCTGTAGATTCTTTGTTAACTTCCATTAGATTTTCCTTCTTTTCCTTTAGAGATAAAATATTAAACAAAATTCTATAAACCAAATTTTATTCCTGTGTAAATATCATGTCTGAATGTGCCAGTGCTGCATCCAATTTCAGATACATGAGCTTGAAGTTAAATGCAAATTTCCATTTCCTTTATAAAGGAGCTGATGAAAATCCATTGTGAAAAGGTTATGAGAAAAAGCTTATCTTATAATTGCAGCCAAGATTCAGGCCATTATTTAAGACGTGAAGCATTTGGCAACAGAAAGATTGTTGTCATTAAAAAGGAAGCCCAACGCATTACTCTTGGGCTGAGAAAAAATAATCTAGCTGTCATTGTTACTTAAGGAGTGACACAGAAGGATGGCAGCAATTCAAATGAGCAGCTTTACCTTGAATGGTAGAGTATACATTTTTTCATGGAGGAAGCAAAGATAATTAACAAACATTTGATGATTGGTTTTAGACCTATCAGGGAGAGATTCACTTTCTGGTTAGTACTTGACATCTAGCTAAATTTGTGTTCCTTAATGCACAGAGCTGAAAGGAAGCCAATAGAACTTGACTATAGTGGGAGTAAGCAGATAAGAAGGTCTTCCTTTCTCACTATACTATTAGCAGCCTGAGGTCTGTAACTTAATGAAATTATTGCCAAATTGGTAGATAATTGGTAAGTATTTTTATAAAATACTCATTTTTGGAAAGAAAGGTTAGGGTGAGGCCACTGAGGTCATCCTGGCTGGGCTTATCTTAGCCTAGATGAAGAGGAAACGGGCACTGGAGGTTTGCATAGGTAAGTATTTGGAAGGCTCTATCATTTTTGGAGGCTACGGAAAAGTCCAGTGTACTTTTTGTCAGCTCCTCCCAAATAATTTCTCCAGATGTCCCATTCCTTGGTTGTTATCCTGAATCACTGTCTAAGATGGTTCTGGCTGTCTCGTCTCTTATCTCCTCCCAATGCAGTGTTATTTCTCTTCTTGATGTGAGAGGAAAATCAATGGACATGCTCCAAAGATGTTTTCAAGCAGGTTTCTTGTTCTAACATATTATCTCAGAAAACCACCTTGTCCTTGTTTATCATGCACGCCCTAACCTTGCATGGCCCTTCTGTGAGACTAGACTGTCTTTTTTTATTTCTAGGAGGCGAGGAAGGAGATGGAACATTCAGCTTAGGCCATTAAGGAGAGATTAATAAAGGGGCTATTTTCAAGATTGTGGGCAAGGTTAATGGAAACCAGCCAGGGATGGCGAAGCACCTCAATCTAACTAGTCTCCCAGCCTCATCTCCTACTGGTGCCCCCCATTGACCACACCCAATTGAAAGCCTGAAGGAGCTTCTCGATGTAGGTCACCCACGGAGCAGGGTGGAAAAGATTGTTGTGTGTATCTGGATGGACAAATAGAGAATATTTAGCACATGATTATCTGGAAAACTATCATTTTCCTCCTTCCCTAGCATGCTTTGGGCTGCTTTCTTATCCTGTCAGTTGGTGTCCTTAGCAATCCAAAACCAAAACTTGTGCAATTGTTGAAATGAATTAGGGAACTGATATACAAAGGAAAGGGAAAGAATCCAGGGTTCTAGTGTATTTGCTTCTCATCCACAGGCTTAACGGACCTGAGCAGAACGTAGGGAAGTGAATGTGCTGTGCGGTATCATCTTCTCTGTGGCCCCATGTGCAGTATCAATGAATCTGGACTAACATGTGGTGCATTCTTCAGGCCAGATGCAGGTAACTGAGTGCTCATCTTATTAAAATTGCTTATTTTCTTTACTGTGGTTCTGTTTCATTTAGGGTATTCGTTCCTTTTCTGTTTCCATCCCTATCCCAATCACCTATCTTTTTCCCTCTCTCTTCTCATCTGTGTAAAGGAATACCCCATTTGTTCCCTAAACATTGATGAAACCACTATTGTAATTAGCTGAGACACTATCAGTGTGTTTCCTTCATCCTACTCCCAGACTAAGGGAGTCATAGGCTAGTTTCGTATGAGTATTGGAATACTTGGCTGAGTAAGGGAACTATTTTAAAGACGAACTTCCTACATGAGAACCTGCTCCCCTCTGAAATCTCACCCAGAGTAGATGATGGAAACCTCCCTCGTCTTGTGGAGGATGGAGCTGTTCTCCCAAGTTGTGAGTAACACCCAGTTCCTGGCCCCGAGATGCTCTCTTCCCTGAGTCCTCATGTCACCTCTTTATCAGAGTAGCTTCTGGCATTCCTTCAGGTTTCATCTAAATGCCATTTTTTCAGGGAACACTCCTCTGATTCCTGAGACTGGGATAAATCCTCTGTAGTAAAGCTTACTAACTATAATTACTCTGTTATATTTGTCTTTGCCTCAGATGATAACAAGCTCCAGAGAGCAGGAACAAAAAGTGTCCTGTTCACCTCCATGTCCCCTGACACCAACTATGCAGTAGGCACTCATTAAATGTGTGCTGAGTGGAAATTGAATCTAATGTAGCTGAGGGCCAACCAAGGCACAGCCAGAGTGGCTTGGAAACCTAAGAGCTTTACTGGTCATGGTACACCACCCCCACACCATCAGGCTTTATAACAAAGTCGTCTTTATTTTCTTTTTCTTTCTTTTTTATTTTTTTGAGGAAGATTAGCTCTGAGCTAACATCTGCTGCCAATCCTCCTCTTTTTGCTGGGGAAGACTGGCCCTGAGCTAACATCCATTGCATCTTCCTCTACTTTATACGTGGGACGCCTGCCACAGCATGGCTTGCCAAGCGGTGCCATGTCCACACACGGGATCCGAAACGGCGAACCCTGGGCTGCTGAAGTGGAACGTGTGAACTTAACTGCTGTGCCACCGGGCCAGCCCCTATTTTCTTTTTTAATAGCCTTTTTTGTTTGTTTGTTTGTTTGGTCAATAGCAGGTTTAAAAGTAGAATTTTACATTTAGCTGTAAGTCCAGTGGAATTGCAGCCTTACTGCAATTTACAAACGTTCCCAAAGATTTGGCAAATGTTTTTGCCTGCTTCATTTTTGTAAGTATTTATTTTGAGAAGAGGCTGCAAATTTAACTTTCTTTTCATGGTCCCTTTCTTGCCTTATTTCTGTCTGAAGGAAACTGATATGAAATGAACTGGAAACTTTAGCATTCTCTTTGTTCTTTTTTGACTCTATTATTAAAACAATGTGGAAAGAACTCTGGACTTGGACTCATAAACCCCAGATTCCAGGCCTCCATCAATCAGGTTTTCTCATCTGTAAAACAGAGATAATAATACCAATTGTATAGGGTTGTTGTGAGGATTAAATGAGATGATCCACATAAAACATTTAATGCAGGGCTTGGCAAATAGTCAGTGCTCACTGATGGTGATGGTGGTGGTGGTGATGCTGGATGCTAAATTACTTAATATATCTGAATATTTGCTGTTTTATCTACATTACAGGATTGGGAGGATCATGTAAAAATGAGAGAAAATATGTGACAGCGCTCGGTAAACTGCTTAATTCTAATGCACAGTAATAATAATAGTACCGATGGTGGGAGTAAGTAGTGCTCAACATAAGTGTGTGGGTTTCACCGCTGTTCCACGTAGCACTCAGTTCTATTCTGAAGACGCTACACTCTTTTTCCGTCTGTTTCCCTGCTTGGGGAATCAAGAGTTATGACTGGGAATGGAGTTTAAATGAGTAGGCAAAACACTCATCAAATGGTGTATTTTTCTAAACTTGATGTATCAATTTCTAAACTGAGGAGTTAGTTCCACATTTCACAGACGCTTTTAACTATAGTGTGAGGAATGTCAAGAAGGTTGTTGATTTAGCTTTACACTTGGGAAAAGTAACACGTAGTTGGCCAAGAAACACTCCTGAACCAAAGGAGATAAGCTTGCTCTAAACTTGCTGGTTGTTGCTTCTGGTTTGGTTTTGTTTTTTAAGGAAAAGACTCTTGGTTGCTTTAACTCTTATCGCAAACAGCCTGGCTTTGCAGCCGGCCCGCTGTGTCAGGGTCTCCCGCAGATGTTCATTGCACTCTCTGCAGCTTTTTCCTTCAGAATCGTTGCAGTGAATCTGTTGGCTTGTTGGAGCTCTAACCACTGCTGACTGTTGAATGCCCCTGAGGGAAGAGCAATTTCAGAGGATGTAAATATGTCAAAAAATTCTGTGGATAATCTCAGAACTCCAAGTTTCTATTTCAGCAAATTTGACATAACAGAACTTCTCTCTCTTTCCTCTTTGATTAGCGTCGTTAATGAGACATGGGTACATAATAAAAGACAGGGAGGAAAAAGTCGAATGCAGAATTTCGAGTACTTAGAATGGATAACTAGGCTTTGAAGGATTTTCGAAGCTCATGCTATTCAGTAGGTGAACAGTTGTCTGCAAATCAAAGTCATGAAATGTTAGCTCTAGAAGGTGCCTTCAAGTCCCGGTGTTAACCTTCCTTTGCCAAGCAGGAAACAGCTGCTTGAGTTCCTGCCCAGCACCCTGCTCGGTGATGAGTGAGCTCACGGGACTTCCTGCGCCTCTTGTTAGCACTTGGTTATCACCTACACACTTGCCAGCAATCAGTATAATCAGTGTTGGCAAAATATAAATGTTAATGCCCTTTAATCAGCTAGGCTTTTAGGAGACTTGGCCCAGAAGCCTGGAGTAATCCTCCTTAGCTCTAGAGATGAATGGTGCAGCAAGTTTGAAAGATTTTTATTCTAATTAATGATAGTGGTAGAAATGGCAGCCGTGTTCGCAGCGATAGAGGAAACTGCAGAGTCAGGTGTGTGGGCACGTGGTGCGCGTGTCCTGACCTCACCGCGTGTTCCACATTCCTGGTTTTCTTGTTACAGCTCCTTCCAGCATCTGTGTGGTTTAGCAATAAGCCTGGGTGTGAGGCGATGCCTCGGTGCCCACGAGTTGCTGGAGCAGAGGAGCGATCCACTGTGAGCCTCCTTGGTACAGCAGGAGGCGGGGCGTCTGTGCAGTCTGTCTTCCTGGATGCCCTGTGTGGACTGAAGTTAACAATTCTCTCTCCTAACTAAGGCCCTTCTGGCCGTGGGCCTCGCCCCATTCCTTCTCTTTCCTGTCACTGCTTCCTAATAAAAAGTATGGGAGTTGGTGCTCTGAGGCCACAGAGAGTTAGGCTATTTCTACTGCTAGCCATCTAGGTCAAAATTATTGGCACCTAGGCATTTACTTAAAAAAAAAAAACCACTTACCCTTTGTTTCTAGAACAAATTTGTGATGAGTAATCAAGGTGAATATTAGAATGGATTTTATTAAATATAAAAAAGGAACTGCATTTCAAGAACTATGTTCACCTAGGGGCTGGCCCCGTGGCCGAGTGGTTAAGTTCGCGCGCTCCGCTGCAGGCGGCCCAGTGTTTCGTTAGTTCGAATCCTGGGCGCGGACATGGCACTGCTCATCAGACCACGCTGAGGCAGCGTCCCACATGCCACAACTAGAAGAACCCACAACGAAGAATACACAACTATGTACTGGGGGGATTTGGGGAGAAAAAGGAAAAAATAAAATCTTTAAAAAAAAAAAAAAAGAACTATGTTCACCTAAAGAAAACATCCGTAGTGAGTCCATTTTGGATTTGAGCATCTCACGCTGGAGCACATATGGGTGATCGCCCTAGAAACCTCTCCATGGACAGTTGCAGCCTGGGATGCAGTGAGCCTGCAAGGACGGCCTTCCAGCTTCACCCAGGTGCTTCTGCTGGGGCTCTTGCTCCACGCCTGCCCAGTCCCTGCTTGAGGAGACCTTCACAGGGCTCTCGGAGGGGAGCTTAAAGTCTGCCATCTACAGAACAGAAAGGAGAGTCTGTAGTGCCTTTGGATGGGGGCGGCAGACTCCAGGCATGGGGGACCTTGGCTGGATGTTTCCAGTGTGGCCTGCGGGCAGCTGCGGATGGATGGAGTGTTTGGAGAGGGAAGAACAGGTAGTGTGACTCCTTATCTTAGGCAGCATGGGGCACTGCTCAGATGACCTTGAGCTGTGAGGGGAGCTGTGGGGGTTGGGTTGCAAAGGTGGTTTTGCTCTGGCTTCCCGGAGGGTCCCTGTGCTAGACAGACAGGCTTGACTGTGCTCTAACGGCCAGCTCCTTCTTGCTGAGTCCCTTCCCCACCTCAGCTCTTCCCCGAGGAGACGGGGAATTGCTTAATTGCTGTTCTTTGAAAAACACTTTTATTTTTCTGATATTATGTCCCTTTCCCATTTTTAGTGTTAAAATGCCCTTCCTTAATAAAACGATGGTGTTAATAGATGATATTTCTTGGTTTTGACTGTCTACTTGGTAACCTTCTGCCAACTCTCCACGTTGTTTCTGTGTTTAATTTACCACTGGTTGTTGAACTCCCAAAGTCTGGAATATCACGATTATACAAGGCTAATATGACTGTATTCTTATTGTAAAAAAATTAAGACAACACAGAAATAAATACAGTAAAAAATGTGGGAGAAAATACAGGGAAAATAGGTAAACATTTAAAAAATATTATCCTTCCTACTCATTTAAAATTTTTCTTTCCATCCAAAATGTCAGATGTCCTTCTAAATGGAAAGCAGTGAATTTCCTCTACAAAAGCCTTATCTGGTGTCAGTCACAACTAATAACGTGGGGAAAAGCCCATTCACCAGCGTCTTCACCTAAACCAGATGCTGTTAATGTGTTTAACTCTTGCATCCAGAAGAGATGGAAGATCTGAGTATGTGAAGAAGAATAAAGCTCTACAGTTTTCTGCTAGAATATTCTGGAGAATTATTTGTCATTATTGTCAACAATATTGTAATAATATGGAAAAAGCAGATGATATAGTGCTGTTTCAATTTGCATTTTCCTGATTAGTAGAAATTCAGCATCTTTTCTCATGTTCAGGCTCATTTGTACTTCTTGTGAAATTGCCTACTGGAAGTTGACCATTTAGTTTTCCAACATCTCAGGTAGCAGTCAGTTCCTGGTGACTAAGTTTTATCAAAGGACAGAACATGCCCTCTTTTTTGACTTTGCCTGCCTACCTACCTGCTCTGAGAGGTTGAGATCTTGGTCTTGGCTTCAGAGAGTCTGAGTTCAGCTCTTGGCTCTGCTGCTTCCTGTGTGACTTACGTCTTAGAGTTCCAAGCACATTATCCATGAAATGGGGATAACATCGGAACCTATTCCATAGAGTTATTGTGAAAATTAAGGGAGGAAATTCCATGTAAAGGGCTTAATGTAAGATTTGGCTCATTATAGAAATGGCAGTGACTGTATTTAATAAGAGGAATTCCAGAGATTTAATTATAGAGACCAACCCTGCTCCTCCACTCCAATCGGTATGATTTCTCCTCTTCAACCTCAAACCCACATCAGGCCTAGATACTCTGGGGCTTCTGTTCTGAGTTCGCTGCAATTCCTTTTGTGATGTTTCTGCACATTAAGGTAAGTGCTCACTTTGCACTTCTGAATTACCTCTTGTAAACAGTTTAGAAATTTGAAAATATGACTATCAAGTTAAAGGGTTTTGGAATTGTTGCTGTGTCGGATCTTGATTGAAGCAAAGTACAGAATTAACCAGAATCTCAGTCATTATTCTGAGTTGTAAATTATGAGAGAAATAACTAAAGTGAATGAAGATCTGAGTATGTGAAGAAGAATAAAGCTCTACAGTTTTCTGCTAGAATATTCTGGAGAATTATTTGTCATTATTGTCAACAATATTGTAATAATATGGAAATGATCATTTAATTAAATACTGCCTTTATAGAATGAGTTATGGCTAAGGTCATTTCATAAAAGTAGAAATTAGTAATTTCTCCCAGTAATTCTGTTAAGAAAATATGCTACTCTGAATAATTGTGAAAGAAAATATGTAGTGTTTCTTCTTTTTCCTCTTATTACTGAATTATAATGTGCAAAACTATAAAATGTTACATAAATCATTTATAAATGGCACTCTAGCCTCTCTTACCAATAATTTTTATTTTATGAAACTGGAATTTCTGTTAAAATGCAATAGGTAGAACTAGAAATTTACCATAATAATATTGATAGCTCCATGCTTCAGAGACTTTTTTCCCTTTTATCTCCAAAATTTACATGGGATTTTTAAGAGAAAGCAGGTGTTATGTCCTCCTGGTGGATATCAAATGCATGTGACGGGAGGGGCTTGTTGCATGAAAGCATGCAAGAAACCAGGCTAGTATCTTAATCTAAGTGCCTCAGCTCCCAGAATTGGACTCCTGAAACTCAAAGAAAACCAAGGCTTGAGGCAGTCACGTTGAGGATCACCTCCGCTGCCCAGCTTCTTGCATCTTTAAATGGTGCGTCCATCACCTGTAGGAAAATGAACAGTTATAAGACAGTGTTGGGATTCACCTCTAACTCTTGGGGGCCTTTCCTCATTATAATCACATATGTTGTGAATTGTTTAGTATCTGTTAATCTTTAGATTATTGTAGAATAAAGGAGATCAAGTAAATGGACACAATTCTTATTCTAGAAGGAATTTATTTTCTAGATGGAAATGCCGACAGGGTGGTACACACGTGTAGTATCAGGTCATCACTGAGGAAAACTTGACATCTGCAGGCTAGATGGGCAGGAACATCAGTGGGGACAGAGCTTCTTGTAGTGGCCTGACACCGTGAGGATCGACCCTCCTGGCTTGGGGATGCATGGTTCTGTTTGGATCACAAGATGAGGTGCACCTTGGAACTCAGCTCAGGCCTCTGCAGCACCATGTTACACCAGAGTTCTGTCTGTCTGATGCTCGTATGTGCTGCTCTGTCGTGGATTTGACAAGCTCCGTGAAAAGCAGATGAGATATTATTAAACAAGAGAAAAAGGATGTGGGAAAAGTATATGGAGAAGAGTGTGGGAGAGGTTTCCTTTCAGATGATAGAAAAATGTAGTAAATTTGGCTGCTCAGAAAAAAGAATAACACAAAAATAGAAATGATTTTAATTGAAAGGTGTGTCTTAGAGAACTCTTTCTATTATATCACAGCACAAATAAATGTGGTCATGATGCATGTCTGACCCAGGGGGTCAGAAGTGAATGACACAACTATGAGGAAAGGAAACTTCCATACTGTCCTCAAGGGCCAAGTGCTGGTGCTCGGAATGACTATAGAGGGACCCCAGGGCACTTGATGCCGGGTTCCCGGGGGCTGTGTTGTATCTTCAAGTGAAAGCCAGTTCCAGAACTCTCCCCAGAGCCTGGGTAAACCAAGCCAGGGAGCAAGAGTTCCTGAGGGTGAACAGTGCAGCATTGCAGCCAGGCAGCGCGGGACAGTGGGAAACATCTGGACTGTGCACAGAAGACCTGGGTCTTGGTTTCAGCTCTGTCCTGCAGTAGCTGTGAGGTGGTTAGGGATAAATCAGGACAGCTTTTGGTGTCCCATTTTCTTTGGGTGTGAAACCAGGAGATGGGACTAGATTATTTCCAAGGTCCCCTTTTAGCTCCAAAAATGCTCACGATTTGCTGGTTTTGACAGGCAATAATTACCCTCTTTCTTTTTTTCAGGGAAGACATCTACATTGTTCATTTTTAAAGTGAAGGGCTTAGATGTATGATTTCTGTTGGTTTATTCATGTGTACTTTTATTTCAGCAAATGAAGAAACACAGCTGGCATTTAAATGAAGCGTTATTGCAGCTATGGTGTCTGTCTTTCTTGAGGCTGTAGTTCTGTAGGAATAAAGAATATTCTTTGATATCTGGGATGTGACCAAAATTCCACAGAAATAGGACAAAGCAGTGCTTAGCGTAGTTGCCAGAAGATTGGCTTTCATTAAATGCATAATATTTCTGCTGGTTTTGATCTCAAACTCCACCCTGCTGCAAAAATGCAATTTGGGCCAAATACCACATCCAGGGATGAGGTAAATCTAATCTCTTTTGGTTCTGGATGAAATACAACTGATATATTTTTTACTATTTTGGTGCAGTCTTCAATCGGAATCATTATACTATTTAATCGACTGTATTTTTAAAAACTGTGTTGGCAGTAACGATGGTATCGTAAAAATGCTATCTACCAAAGGAAATCTTTCTAATAAATAGTTGGCAGATATAAATTATAATGAGAGCCTCTAATTTATTTTGGGCGCCTAATTTATTAAAAGTGCTTTAAAGAGACATCTGTATTTTACCATTTTCCATTAAATCTACAATCGATGTCAGCCTTCTTTCAGTTAGATTTAAACAGACATTCCTTCTTCCTTTAAAAATGTAGTGTTCACAGGCTTGTCTGCTCCCTTTTAGGCATTTCACCAAGTGTAGTGTTCATGTTTTCTGTGAACTCACAATCATTGAAAACCCTCTCTAAATAAAAGACATATGTGCATGATGTAGTCACAGATCATCATCTGTGGCATCCATGTGACACGTACACACGCGTGATGGAATTTACTCACTCCTTGAATAGTAACTGAATGTCTGCGGTATGTCAAGCATACGTTAACACTGGACACCCATCAGCCGTGATGGTTAATTTTTGTGTCACCTTGACTGTGCTGCAGGGTGCCCAGATTAAACATTTTTTCTGGGTGTGTCAGTGAGGGTGTTTCTGGATGAGGCTGGCATTTGAAGTGCAGACTCAAGTAGCTCGTCCTGCCCAGTGTGGGTGGGCATCATCCGATCTGTTGGACACCGGAAAAGAACAGAAAGGCAGAGGAGGGAGGCATTCGCCCTGTCTGTGTCCTGCCTGCCTGCCTGAGCGGGGATATTGCTCTTTTCCTGCCCTTGGACTGGGATTGGGTCCCCCGGGTCTCAGGCCTTTGGACTTCGACTGGACTTTCTGACCCACTTTCCTGGGTCTCCATCTTGCAGAGGGCAGATTGTAGGACTTCTCAGCCTCCATAATTGCATGAGCCAATTCCTCATAATTAACCTCCATATGTTGGTATATATATTTTAGTAGGAGATAGATATCTATCTCCTATTGGTTCTGTTTCTCTGGAGAACCCTAATATAGCAGTGAATTAAAGAGACGCAATTCCTAACTCACATGGCTTATTATCAACAGGAGATTGATTGCTCCCGCTGCATATGAAGTCCTTCCTTTTCATTCTCACACATGTCTGGGAAGCACAGCGAGCATTGTTGCTGCCTGCTGTGGCACAGCAATGCCGAGTCTGTGAAAGGGAGGGAACCCAAAGATGCCTTCTGCACCTTTTGGTTGGCCTGTGTACCCACCTATGGAGTCCATGAGAGAAAATGGATATTTACAGATTCCTGTGGGAGTAATTACCAGTACGTAAAAGTCAGGAGGTTTTTAAGCCTCGGAACTTGATTTTCATTTCTTTGTTTGATTTTCTATGCTTTAGTAAGCATGAAAGGCTATAAGATCTAATGGCTAAGAATCTGAGTGCTAGAATCAGCATATGTGGGTTCAAGTCACCGCTCTGCTATTTTTAGTTCTGGGACCTTAGACATATGACGTATCTTAGTTCTCTCACCTGTAAAATAGAGATGATACTGATTTCTACGAGCGGAATTTATTGTGGCTTATTGTGGGGATTACATAAATTAATTCACATAAAATACTGAGGGTAATGCTTGGCATGAAGCAGGCACTCAATCAATCTTATAAGTTATTACACATAATAAAAAAATCTACCCCCTAAGAGAGACATTTGGGAATCATTTTCTTTATATTTCTGTTAAAGTATATTATTTTAGTCTTTTTTTTTTTTTCGTTTCAGTGTTTAGAGGAACTTTCGTCAAAGATGAAAAACGTGACCTAATTTTGGTAAACAGCAAGATGGAGGCTGTGTTTTGGGTGCTTCTCTCTCTGAAGACTCTCCATGGCTTAGTTCCTGGCTTGTCGCTTTTGTCCTGGGGGCTTCAGGTTCCCTATGCAACGAAAACACAGAGCAGATGTTATGAGACTGAGCCAACGGTGGCCCATAGCATGAGCGCCTGACTGATGGGTTCAAAAGCTTTCTTCTAGCAATTCAAGAGTGCCAAGAATGAGTAAGCCAAGAAGGAGAGTTATGACTGTTTGCAAACCCATAAGGAGTGGTTCTCAGTCTGCACTTGACAAGTCTGAGGGTTTAGAAGACCGTTTGTGGTACAGCTGAATCCCCAGTGTGCTGTGTTCCCAGGGAAGAAAACCAATAACAACAGATCCACAACTCATGCCATTTGCTAAATGGGCTTCCTCGCAAGTGGGGCTCTGGGAGGAATCTCACAATTTCCTGCCGCTTTGTCTCTGAAGGGTAAGCAAGGAGAGTTGTTCTCATTTCAGCTGCTTTCATTTCTGGAGACGATGGGGAGTGTGGAAGTGTCTTTGCTTTTCAGTTTTGCTTCCATTCCAGTGCTTTCTCAGCTCTACGTTTTGTGTTGCCCGGTAACCCTCAAACTTGACATGGAATTCAGGTCAAACTTCCATATTTCACTGGTTTGGGGTTTTTGCATGGAAAATTACTCATAGCTGTCTTTCAGTGTCTAAGCAGACGGAAGAGTGGATGGGTTGTGATGACAATGACCAAAATGAGGCAAGACATCTCAACTAGCTGGTGGGTTGCAGAAATACTGCAGACTCACGTGGCTCCCACCAGACTCTCCAAAGGACCATTTGTTATCTGATTTTACTGATGCTAATTTTTTTCCACTGAAATATGCTTTCATGTGACTCTAGAATAAACAGAATTTAATAATTCTCTAGAGACCAAATTCTGGTTTCTGGCAGGATTTTGCAATCAAGTCCTTGAAACAAATTCTATCTGACAAACACTGGTGTTCTAAAGACCTAACTTATCACATTTTTGAATTTCAAAATGGCCTAGTTTCATCATCCAAAATGCAGAAGTTCATATTCAATGAGCCCTTGACCCTAAACAATTGATCTTTGATGTTAGTTTTAATATTTTGGGGTCCTATTCATCATTTGAATAGATCCTGGTGGCTCGTCAGCTTACCCAGCAGGGAAAAGACATGGAGTCTGAAAGACTTGAACTAATGACTTTCTTGGCCTGATTTGAGTGTCCTCACCTCTTAGACGCCTAGAGTTCTCCTGAATTCATTAAGAAGTGACTGAGTCATCACTTCTAAGAAATCAGGGCCATAATGTATTGATAACACTGAGCTCTAGGGGAATTATTTGTTTTAGAAATATACTTGACATATAACATTATGTAAATTTAAGGTGTACAACATGTTAATTTGATACATTTGTATATAGTCATATGATTGCCACTAGCAATAATGAGCACCTCTATCACATTACATAATTATCCTCTCTTTTTAGTGGTTGGAATGGCTAAGTTATAGTCTCTTAGCAAATCTGATGATTATAATGTTATTGTCTATATTCATTGTACTGTGCATTTGATCTCTAGGGCTTATTTGCTATTCATTGTAAGTTTTTACCCTTAAACAACGGCTGTCCAGCCCCCCACACCTGCATCCCCTGGTGACCACCATCTTACTCTCTGCTTTTGAGTTTGGCTTTTTTAGATTCCACATCTAAGTGGTATCATGTGCTATTTTTCTTTCTCTGTTTGGCTTACCTCACTTACCGTAATGTGCTCAAGCTCTGTCCTTGTTGTCATAAATGGCAGGATGTCCTCCTTTCTCATGGCTGAATATTTCATTGTATAATTATACACCACATCTCCTTTATCCGTTCATCCATTGACCCAAAGCCTCCCGGTACGTAGTTGTATATTCTTCATTGTGGGTCCTTCTAGTTGTGGCATGTGGCACGCTGCCTCAGTGTGGTTTGATGAGCAGTGCCACGTCCCGCCCAGGATTTGAACCAACGAAACACTGGGCCGCCTGCAGCGGAGCGTGCGAACTTAACCACTCGGCCACAGGGCCAGCCCCAGTCTGCCCATTTTTTAAATGGATTGTTTGTTGTTATTGGGTTGTATGAGTTCTTTCTGTATTTTGGATGTTAACCCCTTATCTGGTCTGTGGTTTGTAAAAATTTTCTCCCAGTCTGTAGGTTGCCTTTTCATTTTGTTAATTGTTTCTTTTACTGCGCAGAAGCTTTTAAGTTTGACGTAGTCCCATTTGTTGATTTTTTCTTTTGCTATTTGTGCTTTAGGTGTTATATGCAAAAGATCATTGCAAAGACCTATGTTGAGGAGCTTTTTTCCTACATTTTCTACTAGGATTTTTTTAGTATCAGGTCTTATGTGTAAGTCTTTGGTCCATTTTGACTTAAGTTTTGTGAGAGGTATAAGATAGGAGTCCAGTTTCATTGTTCTGCATGTGTTTATCCAGTTTTCCCAACACCATTTGTTGAAGAGATTGTCCTTTCCCCATTGGATGCTCTTGACTCCCTTGTCAAATATTAGTTGACTGTATATGCAGGGGTTTAGTTCTGGTCTCTCTACACTGTTTCATTGGTCTGTGTGTCTGTTTTCATGCCAGTACCCTACTGTGTTTATTACTGTAGCTTTGTGATAAGGAAGTATAATAACTCTAGCTTTCTTCTTTTCCCTCAAGATTGCTTTGGCTATTTGGGGTCTTTTGTGGTTCCATATAAATTTTAGGGTTGTTTTTTCTATTTTTGTGAAGAATACCATTGGTATTTTGTTGGGATTGCATTGAATCTGTAGGTAGCTTTGGGTAGTATGGACCTTTTAACAATATTAATTCTTCTGATTCATGAACATGGGATGTCTTTTCATTTGTGTCTTCTTCAATTTCTTTCAGCAAAGTCTTGTACATATCTTTCACTTCCTTCGTTAAATTTATTCCTAGATATTTTATTGTTTTGAAGCTATTGTGAATGGGCTAATTTTCTTTATTTCCTTTTCAGATGTTTCATTAATAGTGTATTGAAACTGATTTCTGTCTGTTGACTTTTTTATCCTGCAACTTTACTGAAATTGTTGATTAGTTCCAACAGCTTTTTGGTGGAGTCTTTGGGATTTTCTATATACAAAATTATATCATCTGCAAATAATGACAATTATGCTTCTTCCTTTCTGATTTGGATGCCTTTTTTTTCCTTTGTCTTGCCAAAAATTCTTATTTATTACCAAATATCTGAAAAGGACTAGAGAAATGATCCTGAAAATTTCTCCTTATGTTAGGTGAGAAAATGAGTCAGAAGAGCCTTTTATAATGGTAGCAATTATGCTTTTTCCTTTTTTTTTTTTAGTTCCTTAATTTTAAATATTTTTTAAAGATCTTTGAGATTACCAGGGGAAAGTTTGGGCTTGGTAAGAGATAAAGAATGTTTGAAGAAAAAACAGTTATAAAGGAAATAAGGCAACATAAAGATATTAATAAATCCAGTGAAAGCATAATAGAAGGAATGGGGAGGAAGAGGACAGGGCTGCATGAGAGTGGAATCAGTGAAGAGGAGAGTAGCTGGTATTTGGGTCCGGACTTGAGAGCACTGATAGTTCCTGAGACAGGATTACGTAAAATTAATTATCTGAAACTCTGCCTGGTGATTGGTATGTTCTAGGTGTTCAACACATATTTGCTCCATTCCTCTTGTTTCTCCCACCACCATCTGCCATCAAACACATGTCTTGCTTCTCATACATGCTCCATGAGGCTCGATCTTGGGGGGAAGGAATGGGTAGAATTTGAATAGGCAGATTGGATGAAGAGGAGTCTGAGAATGGTATGAGCACAGAATTTGGCAAAAAAACAGGGTCTGTATGGGTAAGGGTAAATAGACGGTTAGAGTAGGGGAAGGGGGAAATTCAGCTGGAGAAACTGCACAGATTTTAAAAGAAGTCAAGGCTGCATTTTGGTTTCAGAAGCTCCAAAGCCCTGGAACCTTGAGAGCTCTGGGGTTCTCTAGTGCTGCGTCGTCCTCATATTTCATGGATGCACTTCCATTAACTATTGTAAAGATGTACAACTCTCCAAGACATGGATTTAGCAACACCACTTTTTTCATATTAGTTTTTGTCCAAGATCTAGCATTTTTTTAAATGCTGGAGTAGCTAGGCTTCTGCTTATTTTAATACGATGCAAATAAAGTACACTCCAAGTGTCATCTTGCATGCTGGTGCTCTGAACACTGAAACAGAAAGAGAATGTTTGAGTCACTGCCATAGCTGATGGGTATTTTCCAGTTTCCTCTCTCACATGTGGCCATGAATGTGCTGGGATAAAACATATGGCTCTATAGTATGGTTGTTTGTTATTAAAGAAGCCAGAGTGTTGAGCACACCTCTGACTCTACAGTACATTATGGTCCCACCCTTCCTTCCTGCCTCGTCTGCTCCTACTCTACATACACACTATGTTCCAGAGATCAGACTAAATTTTCCTCTTCTTTCCTGCCAACATGCCTCAGTGCCTTTGCACCTGTCATTCTCTCTTTCTGGAAGGGCCTTTCCCTCTTCTATGACAGAGGATCTATCTCATCCTTCAAAATTTACTTAAAATTTGGCGTATTATGTAGAACCTTGCCTGACTCTCCTGGACTGAATTAATGAGTTGTTCCTTTGGGATTGCCAACTTTATGTCTTCAGAGTATTTTTCTAGCCTTTCTAGTTCAATAATATGCCACTGGAACATATCTGAGTTAATTATCATATTTCCTCAATGCAAATACTTATTTAATGTGATCTTTCTAGGAAAAACACTGTATTTAATGTACACACAATTTTTAAACCAAGAGTATCTCGTTGTTAAAAGGAAATCTACGTACCATTTTTCTTCATCTCAAAGTTGAGTCTGTGCATTTTTCACATTCCTAGTCTTAAAGATTCTTCAGGATTACCTTTGGCCTTTGGCAGTGTTTTTTTAGCTCATGATGACATTGTTTTTCATAATCCATGCTGGTTTTAGGCAGTTTTACCTTTAGAATTGATCAAATAATTTTGAGATGTGTTGAAGAATACCTGAATTTTATCTTAATTTCCTATTTGGTTAAACTCTTGGTTTTACTTTTTTCTTAATTGAATTTCATGTCATTGGAACTTGAACAGCTTCTTTTAGAAATTGTCTGGAAGCTTTAAATGGCCAAATGTTCAGCATGTTTCTGTTACTCTGTCGGGGTTTACATATTCCCACTGAACAGTGAACTTTGGAAGTTCTCTGATCTTTTCTGAAATTTGACAATTTCTACTGCTGTAATTGGATGGTGTGTCACGTGACTGCTGTTGACTGCATATAGAACTTTTATTTTAAGGCTGCATTATAATTTGATCTTTTTGAAGACAGTAAAGCCAACAGTGATCCAATTTATGGTAATATTCAACAGTTTCACCCTCATGCTCTCTCTCCAACATTTTATTCTTTTCATTTCCTTCCTAGGAGGAGGTTTGAAGAACCTCTAATGCTCCACCAAGATCAAGGGGCGAATACGGGGATTACAGAGAGAGGCCAGTGTAAAAACCCTAAGATATTACGGAATGAGTTCTCAAGATTTCCTCCCCCTTAACTTTGAAACTTAACTCATCAAAAAAAAAAAAAAAGAAAGAGGGTATTGCTTTTCTTTCTTGGCTCTTGAAAACGTAACAGCACAAGCTGCGGAGAGTAGAATTGTTGAATTTTTAGGAGTGGGATAGACACCCATATTTTAGTAATAAGGAAACTGAGGGCCACAGAGGTTAAGGCCCTGTCTAAGGTCATCCAGCCAAACTATCTCAAAAACCTGAAAATTTTCAGAGACAAGAGCATTGGCCTGGCTAAAACGGAGGGGATGAGATTTTCTTTAATTTTGAGAGCTTAAGAACATCGGCGTGTGCAGTTGCCTTGGGGGTGAAGATGTGCATATTGGTTACGTCTGCATGTCCTTCGAAACACTCCCGTGCACATGGGCACAAGCCACAAGTAACCCTGACTGTGAGATGCACAGGAGACGAGCTCCGTGTTCCCGTGACTTAATTTTAAATCCCATATCCCATTTAGGTTCTACTTTTAGCTGTATTGCCCCCCGCCCAACACATGCGAACTGAGTCAATGCAGATACAAGTCGGGTAAGACAATAGCCGAGTGCTTTCATCAGCATTCCTCCACCTTTGTAATGTGTTGTCTATAACAACAAAAACCTGGAAACACCCTATTTATTCATTGCACGGAGACTTTAAAAAATGAATTATGACAAGCTCTCCAATGTACATTAAGTGAAAAAGAAACCAAAGGAAGAATAATATGTATATTATGCTTGTGGGCATTTAAAAATATTCATGTATATGTATGGAAATTTTCCACAAGTATGTAAAAAACAATTGACGGGGCCATCTCTGTGCAGAGGGACTGCAGGTATGGGGCAAGAGAGAGGCTCACTTTTTATTCTGTATCATTTGTTTATCATATGCTTATTGAGTTTTCACATTTAAAAATAATGACACACGCATTGCCTATAACACATTTCCTGTTAAGGGCCTTTAAGTGAAGTATGGGAAATGGAGCTAATTTTCTCTCTCTCTCAATTGTTTTTCTTTTGGTTGCTGTGCTTAGTCTTTTGTCTGTCTGCTTTCAGATCCATTTCTCTCTTTCCCTGAATTTGCATTTACGGGAGAGGATGCCATGTGAACTCCATTCCCAGGTTCTCTTGCCAGTTGGCTTCCAATAAGTTTGGCCTGTGGGAGGCAGAAGAAAGATAATGGCTGAAGATGCTAGGGTGCTTCTCCCTACCTCTCTGCTCCTGGTGGCTTCTCTGGCTGAGTCTCCTCTGTAGCTCCAGCTCCCTCCATGGTCCTGGCTTCCAGTAGGCAGTTCTGTCAGAGCTCCAGTTTCATTGAGGGGCCCAGGTCCTGGACTCCAGGAGCGCCATTGCCAGCCTAGGGACCTTAGCAGCTTTGTGCTATCACTGATTTTTAGGCACACTTTCCCCTCGTTGCTTTTTCAGCTATTCTCAAACCTCCACAACTAGTTCTTCTATTAAATTCTCTACATTTAATTATATGTCAGGACTCTCTCTTGCTAGCTGGCCCCAACAAAGTTGCTATTGAAAATGAGATTTTCCATCTCCCATGTTTTCAAGTCAGTTATTAATTGTATATAGGACAGAAATTAATTTTATGTATGAATGTTCTTTGTAACCTTATTTATTTCCTGATTTTCCTTTTGAAGCTATTTCTGAAGACTAACCTGGTGGCCTTGCCTGGGAAGTGGAACCAAGAACCCTCGAGGTCTCAGTCTCCTGATCTAGCTATTTCAGTTTTGATTTCCTTTTTGACTCAAGTTGTTTGAGAACGTTTCATTTCTGGATGTATTATCATTAATTTTTAAATTATTTTTTATTGAGATATAATTGACATATAACAGTGTATAAGTATCAGGTGTACAACATATTGGTTAATTCTTATTATAAATTGCTTGTGTCATGACTTCGTGGTTAGAAAATGTTGCCTATGTGATTTCACTGTGGGGGACTTGAGATTTTCATCAGGGGCAATTACACTGCCTGCTTTAATATATTTTCCATGCATCTTTAAAAGATGCTTCCTTTGATTTTATTTGTGTGTGTATATATATATATTATCCATGGTATTAATTATGGTACTTCCTTTTACTCTATATCACCTGTCAAGGACTGTGTATATGTTTCTACTACTATTCATTTATGTCTATTTCTTCTTGGTTGTTTTAGTTTTTGTTTTATGTATTTTGATTTATTATTTGGTGCTTAGAGATTCAGGACAGTTAGATCTTTGTTATATACTCCATCATTATGAAGTCCCCTTCTTAGACTAATTTAACACTTTTTGTCCTGAATTCAAAATGTGTTCTTTATTAACATGACCTGAGAATGTTTCCCGCTGATATAACTTTAATTTTTTTCTAATTTGTTTCTTTTCTTCATGGAGAACATCATTTATCTACGTGTGGGAACTTATTTGTTTGCCTTCCATATCCGTTTTCATTTCTCTTTAATTATTTTCTCTAATAATTTATAGGCCTTTACTCGTTCATTTTACTTAATTTTCTCACTTCTGACCTCCATAAGTCAGTCTGTCTTTTTGGTGGAATCCATTCTAAAAATTTTCTCTTCTAAAATGGATTTTATTTCTGAAAGTCATATTTATTTCTTCTATTTCCTTGCTGAATTCTGCCAGCTCACTTTTAATATCCTTCTATTGCTTTATTTTTTCTTCTTTGAGCTATTCTGTCTTGTTCTAAATACTTTTTTCAAAAAGACTGTTTTCTTTAATTTTTTCAATGTCACTGAAAAGGATTTGAAGAAATCATCTATTCCTTCTATAATTGCTGCGCATGATTTTTGTCTGCCTCTTTTACATTACTTTCTTACTTTTTTCTTGTAGCATCTATAAATGTTGGTTTTATGCCAGCCCTTTTCTGATACTTTTCGCATCTGTAAATGGGGCCATTCTTTCAAGAACAGCGATGCGCTGAACAGCAGCCTGAGAAGGGCTGGGGGCGTCAGCTGGGGCAGCAGATGCTTCATTATGCTGATGCTGTCTCAATTTTCTTTCTAAAATTTCTGCCGGGGGACAGAGTTTCGTGCACTTCCCTCAGGGCTATGCCCATTCAGTTTGCTTATTTTGCAGTGGAACAATGTGTGGGGAATTTGTGTTTATTAGTTTTACTTTGCCAGTTTTGAACAGCAACTGAAAAACAGCAACTGATTGTCACTCACCGCCTCTCTCTGCTGTATTGCCAGCCTCCTAGTTCAAAGACAGGATGTCTGCCTCATTCCTTGTTCCGTCCCACATTGCCTGTCACTCTCCACAACTTGCTGTTTCAAATAAGAAATCACTGGCCAGGCGCCTTCAGGCTGTGTCTCCTTCCTTTGTGGAATTCCATGCCCTGCCTGAGGTCTCTTAAGGTATGCATCTATTATGCTCAATTGAATCCAAATCTTACTGTGTTCCTCATAGTCTTTGGTTTGGTATTAGAGTAGCTAATATCATTTAAAATGGAATTTCCTTCTTTGTGTTGCTTCTTTTCAGCCACTTTCAGAGAAGAGAACAGAGGTAGAAGCACCTTTATTTTGCAATCTCTAGCTGTATGTCTGTAGGCCCGAGATTGTCAGACTTGTTGTAACACAGATGGCTGGGCCCACCCCCAGAATTTCTGATTCAGTAGGTCCCGGGTGGGGTCCTGGACTCTGCATTTCCAACAAGTTCCCAGCTGATGTTGATGCTGCTGGACCATAGACCACGCTTCAAGAATCGCGGCTCTAAGCTGTTTATTTAATAGACGAGCCATCTCTAGACATCCCTAGTAGGAGTCGGATTTGAATCCCATGTCATGAATGTCAGTTGGAATTGTGCTTAATTCTTTTTGCAAAAAGGGAAGTAGGTATATGTTTGGTGATATTACTGTGTAAAGACTTTCTGAAAGTTTCAGTGAAAATGTTTACAGCTGTTGACTCAGTGGGAACAGTTCTGTTCATTTTTTCCTCAAATGGTTGAGCTGGGTCTTGTTTCCACTTGGCCTCAAGTTTTCTAACTGTAGTTAGTGTATGGTCTTTGCTGCTCACAGGTTACATAAACAGGCATTTTCTGGCCTTAACTTCTATCCGTAGTTTTAGCCCTGAGCTACCCAGCAGATCTCTGACATATTGCACTGAGCTTTACCATGTAGCTAAAAGTATACTACCTGAATGCTTTTCATACTGGCCAATGTGTTTCTAGGTTTCACATTTTGATGGCTTTTTCATCTCTTTCTCAATTGCCCTTCCTTCCCCAGGGAATGACAGAAATTAACCCAGTAAATGCCATATTTCATGCAGCAGAAAGCCCGAACACATTTGGAACTATATGATTTAGGTTCATCTGGAGAAAACTATAGGTTTGATAGAGATAATGAATTTTTTTCTTTTTTTTTTTTGCTGAGGAAGATTAGCCCTGAGCCAACATCTGTTGCCCATCTTCCTCTTTTTTTGCTTGAGGAAGATTACCCCCGAGCTAACATGTGTGCCAGTCTTCCTCTATTTTATATGTGAGTCGCCACCACAACATGGCAGACTAGTGGTGTAGGTCCTTGCCTGGATGTAGGTCTGTGCCTGGGATCCAAACCTATGAACCTGGGCCGCCAAAGTGGAGTGTGCCAAACTTAACCACTATGCCACGGGGCCAGCCTGAGATAATGAAGTTTTTGATTACACAATAATAAAACCTCTGCAGCTGTAATAAACCTTAATTGGGTGAATGACTCATTTAAAACTTGAAAATTCAGAAACTGCATCTGGGGAAATAATCTAATGTTTCGTTTGTGGTCCATGGTCACCTCTTTCAGTGGCATTGTTTCTGCTGCCTCCCAATTGCAAACTGCTGTACACACAGAGTTCAAACCTGAACCTACACTGGGAGCCGAAGGATAATTCCAGCCTTTGTTGATCTACACCAGAAATGCCCATCTGTTACAAGGGGGAGCTCTGATGACTGGAAAGTATTATAATCCCCTTTCAGAAAAATGTAATGCTGCTGATTAGAGGAGGGCAGAGTGGGTTCTTAATTTCAGCAGAGGTTCCAGCAGCATTTATTGAGTTTAAAGTGAGTTCAGAGCCATGTGCCTGGGAAAGCTATTTGAAGATTTGCACAGTCGTCAGAAGATCCCAAGGAGAAGGACGACATGGCACATTCACACTTCTCTTCCTTTACAATCGTTGTCTAATATGCACAGCCGACGACCATGTATGTAACTGTAACTGATTTCCAGAAATACTCATTAAGATCAAGAAGAAAAAGAATTAGGAATAAAGTAGGAAGCTTGCTTTAAAAAATCAGCCAAAACAAATGGGAAAAAATGTTGGTTAAACAACAAGATACCTGTCAGTCCTTCCAAAATGTTATTGTTCTTGTGGGGCTTGACCCCCAGTTATGATGTAGTCTGGGTGTGAGTGCTGGCACGTGTTTCCGCCATGGACTTCCTCTACTCCCTGGCCAGCCGCCACACCCTCCCACCCCAACAAGGCAGAGACTCTTTCCCCTCTTATGTAGGGAAAAGCCCTTGTTGCAGTCGATTGAATTGGAGGCTAAAGGTGCGCAGTCATGGGGTGGTCACACCTCCTTCAACTGCAGAACTTTCCTGGTGTGTCATTTCCACCGTGTGTCCTCTGCGTTTCCAGGAGGGCCTCTGACTTCCCGGAACTTGGCTGTAGCATCTCTGCTGGCACCCGGCGAAGCCTGAGCGTGGAGATTCAGCTGCCTTGCATCCCGACCTGCATATTTTCTTTTCTCAGTTGTGACCTTATCTAATAGAATTCTGTGTATTTTCCCCCATTCAGAATGCACTACTATTAATAATAGCAATGGTTTTACTTATTATTTATTATCTTTAACTTTCATAACAATTTTCGTAGTACGGGTCTTAACGGGAAGAATGGGCTTACTCGGAGTTGGTAAGTAGGCCCTGCTGTGGTTTTCCAAACACCCCCATCCATGCTGCATGATGGAGATTGAGCGCACAGAAACCCACTCAATAGAAAGCTGTCTGCATTCAGGAGCTTAACTGTGTGCAAGTGAGCGGCCGTGGAGCTCAGGGTGGAACAGTTGACTCCACGCAGTGGCTGACCGCCTGGAAAAGCCCGCTGTCCTGACAGATCTCGGAGATTGGACCAGGGGAGGAGAAAGCGGATTTAGCTTGGCATGTGAGGCTGCCGATTGAAAACATTTCAAGTATGCAACCTAGACTTGTTTTTCCCCCCAAAAAAGGACTAATATGGAAATCTAGGCTCATAGAGACCCCTCCGGAAGTTCCTCACATTACTCTGAGTATCATTGTTTCTCACAAGCTAAATGTACATGCAGCTAAGGAATAAAGCATCCTAGCTATGTGTTTGTTAAAGATTATGCCTTCATTGGAATTTTACAGCATCAAAGGGACAATAATAACAAAAAAAAGAATTCTTTCAACGAAAGTGCAGGTACTGGTTAGTGAGTGTTAACTCACAATTAACTGTCTAGAGAAAAAGTAGGACCAACTGGCTTTCCAAGGCCTGATGTCCATGCTACTGTATTTAATTAACACAGCCAGGAGTTATAAGTATCGATGCCTTCATTAAAAAAATACTAGAAAAGTCCCCCAGGAAAAAGGAAGTCAGAGCATTTCATGAAGGCCTTGCAAAATAGAAATATAAAAGCAATTATTACACCCATGAACCCAGAATTAGTTTCTCTGTTCCCAGATCCTTCTGCTTTGTAGTACTTCTCACAGCAAGAAATTTTGGCAATAGGAACATTTGTTTACAGTAAATATACTTAGAATTTTTCCGTAGAACTCAGGTTTTTATGAAAAAATGAATAGAAAACAAATAGCAACAAAAACCTAAAAGAGAATCAAGAATAGTAAAAGATTAATTGACTTCTTCTAATCCCCATGGCTAAAGTAAATGTGATTTTTAAGTGAATGTCGGACGTGTTGATATTACCTGAACCTCAGTGTTCACTCCGAGGCTGCTGGGGGAGGGGTGAGGACAGAGGCTCAGCCTCCCTGCCTCCCCACCTGACCTGGCTTCTCCCTTCCTTGGACCATGGCACTCTGGACGCGGAGCTGTATTAGCATTTACTACTCGTATTGGCGTATTGACGTGTTCGTCTCTCTCAGTGGCAGGAATACATGGAGGTCAGAGGCTGAATCTCACATAACTTCCCATAGTGTCCTCCTCCTACTCAGTACTTATTGCTGCTAAGGAACTTTTTTCATCTCTTGACCTCCCCGTCATGTTTTTGTTTCCGGGTGTGGGGAAGATGAGGGCAGGCTGAGGAAGGGCAGGAGGAAGCAGTGTGATGAGGTCGTGCTCATCAGGGGTTAGGGGACTGTTTTCAATTCCTGGCATTAGAGAAGTGAGGACCAAAGACCTGGCTCTTGGAGTTTTGGAGATTCCGGCTGGCAGAGCTTCCTTGGAGCGCAGGTGGCAAGTGAGGCAGAGTTGGAGAGGAGTGCTCCTGCGCCCCACAGGCAGGCAGGAAGCTGTGGGGACTTGGGGAGGCAGCTCCCTGGACGGGCGTGGTGGCGTTCTCAGGGTTAGCACTGTCAGAAGCGAGGCTTCTTGGGCCTGAGGATGTGCTTCCCAGGATGTCAGGCTGCAGCTTTAAGCAAGTGAACTTCCCCTGGAAGCTCCTAGGAAGCTCCTGGCCACTCCAGGCTCTTGCTTTCCCAGAGTAGGGGCCGAGTAGAGACAGCTTGCAACAGAGAAGCTCAGATGGATCAGCCAGCCATGGACTGCTCCTGTCTTTGCTGTGAGAAGTGACATGTTGGGGCACTGTCCTGAGGGGCTGGATTGTTCTGATTACAGGAAGAGCCAAGAGAATCTGCAGTGGAGGTAGGGGGATGTCACGGCCAGTGTCATCCAGACTTGCTTCTGTTCTGGAGTAAATGATGAAGAAGCAAAAAGACCTAGATAGTGATGTCTACAGAGAGCAACAGGGAACCCTTAGAGGCAGCAGGAAGAAAGAGTTCTCTCTTTCCCGCCCTCCCCTCGTCTTCTCTCTCCTCCTCTTACTTCCTCTCAGGGTTTTGGTTTCTACAAAGCCTGTGTGCGGGGTAATAGAAAACAGTGAGTTACAACCGTGTGAACTTTGATTTAACGTATTTACATTAGTCAATATCTAACCAGGAAAATAGAAACTATTTAAAGTATTTAAAATAGGGGGAATTTAGGGCGAATTGGTTATATATGTGATGGAAGACCAGAGAAACCCAAAAGGAGATCAAATGGCAACCCAGAGATTAGCAATAAAGGAAGCCATGACAAGAGAGACGAAGGGAGGGTATTTTTCATTATTGAGATATAATTGACATGTATCCCTGTATAAGGTGTACAAAGTGTTCATGGGATCCATTTCTATATTGTAATGAGATTTCTGTGAGATCCCGGGAGGTGGTGTCAGGCCGTGGCACTCAGCACTGCAGTGGCCTTTCCTGCTATGAAGCCATGTAGGATGTGCAGTCTGAGGCAGAAGGGCAGGTGGGAATGCCCAGGCTTTTCCTTTTCTCCTGCTCTCCCCTCTCCCTATAAGTTGCCTCTCCTTGGCTGAGGCCAGAGCTGTCCAGGAGCTCCGGGAATGCAGCCTGCAGGGGGCAGCACGTCCTTGTTACAGAGCAGCCCGAGGGGCAGGAGAGGAAGCCATAGGACCAAGGGCCAGCCAGTCCCCTCTTCTTATAGGAGCCTCTGGGTGATATGATGGAGGAAAACGTGTGCGTGTGTTGTGGGGGGTGGGGTGGGGTCTGAAATTGAGAGAAATTCTTAACTTTCCTGTCAGAAGAGTTGAAGTTTATGTTGGCTTGATATTCAACTTTCGGACTAAAGGATCATATTCAACGTAAATTCATTTCACAGACTTTAGTAAACATTAGAATTTGCCACCAGTTCAGATGAGTTTGTCTGGACTGTATTCTAAGTGAGTAGTAGCAGGCAGAATTTTATTCTAAAATGTACAACAGCCAGACCCTTCAGTCAAGTGGCACTCAATCTTGACAGTGAAATGGTAATACTCATTTCTCATTATAGTTATCATGGAAGAATTGAACTTAGAGCAGATGCGTTTAATTTATTCACGATGTCACCAGATGTGGGCAAACTTGTTTGAATAAAATACAAATTGACTTAAAGGTTTAACGTAAAAATCAACAATTAAAGAGCTGAAAATGATTAATTAACCTTTTTTTCTTTTTCATTTTGATGTGTCTCTTGCGTTTTCTGTTTTCAGCTAAGAGAGACAGTACTGAAATGTCATTAAAAAAATGTTGATTTTGCAGTATTTCTCTGCCCTTGGGAACAGGAAATACCTAGAATTCTGCTAGTGAGATGGTTCTTAGGAACTTTCTCGTGTGATTTTTATAATGAAGAGGATTAAATGTGTTTGGATGACTCCAGCATTGAGAACTTTGTCACTCTGATGCTCCAGACCCATTGACATTTCCCCCAAATGCTCCCTCTTCCATATGTTAGGGGATTACTTTTAAGATCAAGTAATGAATATAATGGAGTCTGTGCTGTTTTTGGATTTCAGACTCCTTGTGAATGTGAAATAGATTAAATAGAGGACACTTGAGAAGTAATAAATTCCAACAATAATATCAACGGGTGTGACAAAGAGACCAGGCAAGTGACTTTTCGACAGCGTTAAAGTGATATTGGCATTTCCTTCTCTTTGGGAGGAGAGAAGCTGGGCCTGGGAGGAGGCGACAGTCAGTTCTCCGAAGCCTCTCGGATACCTACACAGCTTTTTGGCCTGTCATCTGAGCTGTGGAACTGATTTAGCAATAAAGTTCACAAAATAGTGTTACATAAAGGCCAAATTGAAAAACGATGCTGTTTTCATGTCTTCCTTGAATCATGGGAAAGAATCACTTCTTTTCTTAGTGTTTAGTTTCTTGAGATCTATGTCGTGTGTTTACATTACCATAGCTATAGATAATTGGATTGGCTTAGTCAACACCTGAGAAGAAAAAAAATGGGCTAATATTCACTGAGTGCCCCCGTGTTCTGGTCCCTGCGGGGTGCGTGCCAATGCTTAGGGGGATGAGCAGGCATGTTCAGTCGACAAATGGATGGCTTGCCTGTTGCGGCCATGGGCTGCACTCGGTTGTCAGCACTGATGTGAGTGAGGGAGAATGGCAGTCATGTCCCAATAAAGTTGGAGTAGACTTTGGAGTCGAGTGGACTGTTGCCTGTTTATTCTCAAATCTGTTCCCCGAACTTCCCTTGTTCCCCCTCTGTGTCGCAGAGAAACTGTCCTTGTTATTCCCAATACTTCTTCACCAATCAGCTTCTTCCCAGGAGTGGCTCTGGGAGGCACTGGCAGGAGATAGGAAGGTGGAGGAAGGAGTAATCCAGGGTACTAATCTCCACCTGTCTCTGCTTTGGGGGTGTCTTCAGTAGTAACTGTCTCTTGTGATGCTCTGGCTCCTGCCAGATAGTTTGTTCTTCCACAGCCCAAACTCCCACTGTCCAAGCCTTCTGGGTTCTGGCTTCTACCATGTCTTCTGCTCCTGACTTCCTCCCCATGTCTGTCGAGCTCTGGGGATGCAGCCTCCTGCAGTTGGAAATTCCTGGTTGCCTCCTCTTCCAGTGTTTGCTCTTTGGGCCCTTCTAACGCTTTGTGACAGATATCCTGCAGTAAACTTGGTAAACTCCTTCTATTGAATGACTAGATCCAGGCGTGGGTCTCCTGGTTGCACCATGAATGATGCTGAGCCTGAGAGATGTAGATTAAAGCCTATGTTTGACTCACCATGAGCAAGACCTTTGGGCAAGTCATTTAACTCCAAGGATGTTCCTACAACCGTACTGTGGGGTTAGCACTGACTCAGAAAATTGTAATGGAGGTTAAAGGGCATTCCTAGCATGGCACCTGGCACAACGCAAGCATCCTATGATCCTGTCTTAAGCCTATGATTTAAAAACCAGGGCACTGCTCTCTAAACTCTCTAATACAGAGAATCCTAGAGAAACAAGAAAAGCATCATGATTGTATGAGTAAAACATCCATTTAAGAGGGTGTGTGGGTTGTTGGAAAGGTCATGGAATACAAATTGGAGTTGTTTGGACATAATGTCTATGGAGAAGAGCAAACTGTCTGAGAGAAAAAGATGAGACTAGGGTGTATTCCAGGCAAAGGGTCAACTGGGAGACTAAGTTGGCTCCAAGACCTAAGGCGTGACTATGGAACAAGAAGAGTGGGCAGTGAGTTGTTACAAAAGCTGAGGGCACATGAGGATGTGTTCTGGCTGTGGGAACCTTCTTTGGATTCACGCTCCCAAAACATCAACGGAGAACGCTCCCAGGTGTAAAAGAAAGCCATGTTGCTTGTCCCTTGTTGCTTCACAGTTTTGCTAATCCTCATGGAACATGATGTCAGAGCTGTTCTGTGACACATTTGGTGATTGGAAATGGGCAGCTGTTTTAAGCAGAGGAAGCCTGTATACTTACTTCAGTTCATGGAACCATATCCAAGGAAAATGCTAGGTAGTCATCCAAAGCTTATTGATTTAGATACGTTCTTAACCTCTTTCTTATCCTGGAAATGTCATATGGGGAAGTATAGTTTATCAATGTGTTAGACATGAGATTTATGATATAATGGATCCCTTCGCTAGGGTTGTGATGGAAAAACATTTTGGTTACCTTTAGTAAAAGTAGTCAGAGTGTGACAGGAACTTAGAGAATGGCAGGTGCTCAATTAGTGCTTGTTGGATTAAATGTGTATTAAATAAAAATATTGGCAACATGAAATGGCACATTTTGCAAAAATTTAATGACACAATCACACAGAAACAACACACTGGATTAAGAAATAACGGATGTGAGACTATAAAATGTGATACAATTGTAAGATATTATTCTAAAAATATCTTGTGTAATATAGCAAGAGTTGTTGGCATTAAATCATGAATCATAATTTGAATCTTGTAAAGAAGGGAGTGTCAGGTATTTGCGTCTCTGATTTATATCTCAGTAAATCCTGGTACAGTCTAGTGGGCCCAGAAAATACAAATCCGAAGCAGACTTGAGTCTGCTTTTGATGATAGTATATCTGCGTGGAATAAGAACAACCCAGCTGAAAGGTATTATGACAGACTTTATTATCTATACAACGACACCTGGCTGAGTCTTGCTCTGCAGAGGACTTGCTCTTCATCTGGCCACTGAGAGCAGGAGACCCCACCTGGCCCTCTCCCATGTCAGCTCATGGTCTCTTCAGGCTAAATCTATCCTCAGGCTAAACCTGGCACCAGGAGATGGCACATGCACTTGCCTTGAGTCCAGTGCTTGACAAGGGAACCCCGTTCTTGGTGTATAGGGACGGGTAGGACCTACTTCTCTCAGCCCCTGTGAGGGACACCTGTTCCCTTCGCTATTGGGGATCCTGGAAGAAACTTCCTTCTGTATTATAATTATCATGAGGGTACATTCTTCAAGAATATTGGGAATACTTGGGGATATAGATTTAGAGATAAAGGCATGGAAACTTGACATCAAAAGAAAAATTCCAGCGGTTCAGTCTTGTTTACACTGTAGTCGAAGTTAATAACACTTAGTTCACCACAGGCTCAGGAAATCTTCCTTTAAGTGGACTTACACTTCTTCATAGAACTTTTTTGCTAATTCTCCCAGCCTTACCTTTTTCAATATTCCAAATAAACTTTCATTAAAAGGGGGGATAATTTAATATGCTGCCTAGATACAGCTATTGTTTTTTGCTGGGGGAAGAACACACAAAGTCCTAAGTGGAAACGGAATGGTGTTCCTTTCAAATATACCAATACGCTGGGATTGTTACTTTCGATAAATCAATTTCAAATAGCCACTCTGAATATTCTAAAATGCTCAAAGACTCTTTGGAACCATTGATAGAAAATTAATTTGTGGTTTATTCAAATTACTCCACGTGAGGAGAAAATAACCCATTAAATGAACAGAAACTAATTTCTTAATGTTTCTCGTTTGCCTCATTGCTTTCCCAAGGAATAAATAATAAACCATCAAATAGAAAGTTCATGAAAGATCCAGGCATGCTTATGGCCACAGGGCTGCCTTCCACGCTCTCAAAGCTTTACAGCTTCCCTTTTGAACCCATCGCCTGTAACGCTCCATCATTATCAACATGAACACAACAGTCTCCCATCCCCGACTGTGTTTGCCTGCTCCTACTCTTGCTTCTTCTATCTTCCTCCCTCTGCCCTCCTCCCTCCCGTCTCCTCCTCTGCCTTCCTTTTTCAACAAAAGCATCTTCATTACGCGTTTTCTGGACATAGCGTACCGTGGATTCAGAGGTGGGCTGTAAACAGTACATTGAACGAATGAAGTGGGTTTTAGAAATTAGAGTTTGTTGAAGAGAGTCTTTAGGGAGAAGGGATAGTGGAGGAATGTTCAAGAAACAGTGAGTCCATCAGTGTGGCTGGAGTGAAAAGAAGTAGGGGAGATAATGAGGGGCAGGTTGTTGGGGGCAGATTGTGAAAGCCCTTGAGCACCACGCTTGCATTTCCTTCTGTAGGCAGTGGAGAACTCTCAGTGGTTTCCAGATACAAATGTATGCTAAAGAGTGATTTGGGAAGATAAACAAATTAGTTAAAGTGTAGGTCCAGCTGGTCTAAGAGAGACCAACAGTCAAAGTGGCTTAAATAAGATTAAAGTTTATTTCTCAGTCTATTAACAGTCTAGGCTTAAGCAGTCTGGACTGCTAGGTTGGTTCCACAGAGTTGGGACTCCAGGACCCTTCCTTCTTGTTGCTTCACCATCCCCAGGGCTTGTCCTTGTCTGCATGGTCTGTGACAGCTTGCCTCCACTTTCACATGTCTGCTATGGAAAAGGGGGCTGCGGAGGGCAGGTGCCCAACTAAAATACTAACATAGAGGTTCTATTAGTATAAAAAGGAATGCTAGGGAACAGTGTCAAACATGGAAGGCAGCAATATGTAGAATATACTAGCATGGAGTGTCTGGCTTTGTCCCTTTAAATTCTCTAACGATCCGAGAGCACCGGCTTCCATATCAGCTTCCATTTCCCTGGGGGGACAGTTAGACTGTTCCTTGGAGAGATTCTGGTAACCAGGAGATGCAGAATGGTGCAGGGAAGACGCAGACTCAGTGTCAAGGGAATTAGGTTTAAGTCTCAGCTGACACATTGCGTGACTTTGGGAAGCTTACCTAAACTTAATGGATCTCAGTTTTACTGTCTGTGTATGAGGTTATAAATACTTTCTCTTCCTGTCACAATGTTTGTCATAAGAGGTGAAAAATCAGCAAGGTACTATCATTGTCTTGCTGTTAGTGTAGGATATAGATATAGGTACATCTATGTATGGGGGTGAGTGTCTAAGATAGAGACTTAAAAAAAGAGTGAGAGAATAATATCAGGGAACCAGTATGAAAATGGCAATGGTTATGACTGTGATCTTTATCCATTTCTTTATCTCCAGTGCCTGGCGTATGGCAGGCCCTACATATGTCGGTTGGGTTTGTTTCATAAATTGCAAGTTTTACTTTAAAACATCACATCCAAATGCTTTTAGGGAAATTATTTGTATTTATTTGGAGTTTCTCAAGCCTTTCTTTGTCTCGTTTCTCTTTATCTGCTCTTTAGAGTGGGACCACATTGTAGAGAATGAATGTGTGGTTTAATATACAGCTTCTGTTGTTTCTCACATTATCAGGAGGACAGCTAAAGTGTATCAATATTTTGAAAATATGTAGCAGTTATATTTTTCCTTCTTTCTTAAATCCTCTTTTACTGAAGCCCCTCTGTCATTAAGACTAAGCCTTAAGGTTTTTTGCCCTGGAAATGAGTCTCAAAGATGACTTTTTGAGAAAACAGTAATAGAATGGATTTAAAAATCTAGTTTTCTTGAGAAGGAAAAGGATTTATTAATTTCCAGCTCTCCTCCACTATAAATAGCAAAACCTGAGCCTGGCACACTCGCTTCATAGAGTTCATAAGTCATTGTATAGAAATCTGGGAGTCTGTTGTAAGGAAAGTTCCCATCAGGTACTTAGGGTTTTTGTTTCTGTGTTTGTGTGTTTTTTGTTTTGTTTTGTTTTCCCATGGAGACAGCAATGAGGAGAAGCAAGAAGTCAGATGTTATTGTCCTAGTTTTCCTCTCTTGGAGAGCACCCCAAGAAGTAGAAATGAGAAGCAGAAGCATCCAGATGGTTTTGGGAAACTCCCAGTCCAGGCAGGCTGGCTCCTTACTTCTCAGACAAGGAACCTGGAAGGCAGCCCCTTAGGGACTGTGTTTCTTTCTGCATGTGTTGGAGCATTATGGTGCCAACCAGGTAAGTACTTTGAAATGGTTCTATGTCAGCACAGATAGGCCAGACCCCATGGCTGGGAGCCTGTGGTTGGGTGTGGCCTTTAGGGGATCTAAGCATTTCTGGATGCCTTGGGGAGGAGATGCCTGAGCAGTAAATCAGGACAAGGAATCAGCAGAAGTTGTTAAAATGGTGCCATGCCAGGGACAGCGATATCGTGGAAGGATTCCTAGGGGCAAGACCAGATCAACCTCTGTGTCTAGAGGGAAGAAAAGAACAATATAGATAGGTAATCTTGCCCTGTGCCCACATGCCATCTTTGGGAGGAGGAGCAGAAGGAACCCCTAAAGAAGTGAGAAACTTGCCGTTAATTAACCCAAACGAAATCATTTTAGTTTGGAAAAAAGGGGCTTTTTTCCCCCCGCCTTAATAGAGGTTCTAGAGAAAGATGAGATGAGTTCTAGATAATGGCAAGAGGTGTAGGATGTCTCTTGGTGGTTGTGTGTACCTTTCAGCCCTCCCACAAGTTCTTAGTACGTCCAGTCCTATCCCAAAGTGATACTGACATTCGCTGATGCTTCAAGTATATGCTGTTTTGGTCAGTGGTTGCTAGTAAGATATTCTCTCTTATAAAAAAAGAAGCCATTGATCCCAGAACTTTCATAACTTCTGAATTGCTTCATGACTAGGTGGTAGGGTGGAGAAATTTAAACCCTTCAAGAGAAATCCAACTGGCCTCCATGAGCACTTGTCAGAGAACTTGGAACTTCCTGGGGAGGTGAGTGGGCATCCTGTGGAAGGTGTAGGAAGGAGGGAGAAAATGCCTGCTGCCAGTCAAAGGTCGGGGCTGCAGGCCGAGCCAGGGCACCCCCTCCACTTGCTGCTGTGCCTGCTGTTTGGCTTGGCAGAGGCAGGCTCCTTTGCAGGAGGGAACTGGTTTCTACGTTGGTCTCAAGACTAAGAGGATGTGGATTCAAAAGAAAGAAGAACTGAGTTGTTTTGACTAAATAGGTTTGGTTCATTTCCCTGGGACCTCCTCAAACACACTGATGTTTGCACAAGAAGGAAATGAAGGCAGTGTTGACAAAGGAGACGTTATAGCTGCTGCCCAAATTGCCAGTTAGTGTATTATTTACTTGTTAATGCTTCTGCAATGGTTCTGTGAAGAAGGAAAATTCCAAATAAGTCATCTAATCTATCTTCCTGGTGCTGCAGGATCACCACCTACTATTTGTTAAGGGTTAGGCTGCAGGTTTTAAATTTTCTAAGTTATGAGGGGAAAAATAATTCCATATGATCCAAAGGAGAGAATTTGAAGAAAGTGTCACTGCTGGGCAGCCTTGTCCTACAATTAAACGTATTTGCCAAAGAGCTCATAGTCTGAGGAGATAGTCAAGGAACGTGCACTTACAATGCCGCCAGCATTTTGGTCTTTGGTCCTTCATGTGTTGGAGTGTTATCACATACCATCGTTGTGCCAAGCATTGGGCTACGTGCAGGGAATGTAAAAGAGTTGCTGTCTAACTGGGGTGATGAATCTGAATGATTCCTTAGAATGAAGGAGGTGCTAAGAGAAGGGCTTGTGGAGCCCTGGAGGAGCATGGAGGGTGATGACTCAGGAGGAGGGCTGGGGAATCAGAGAAGGCTTCATGGAGGAGGTGGTATTTGTGAGACTCTCTTACACAAAGCCACATGGAGTAACTTTTATGATATAGCAGGTGCTTTAATGAATAGGCAGTTTTCAGGATTTTTTTTAAAAAACTGAATTGATCAACATGGGGGGAGTTGCTTTAGCATTGTCCTTAAGACAACCTGAAATGAGGAGATAGGCCTTTTTAAATTTAATTTATTTTGATCGCCATTAAGGTAAAATCACCTCCACCATGTGGCATTGCGCCAGATGAGTTGGGAATGAGCACTGGGAAAGCCAGAGTCTGCTGGAGCAAAGGTGGGAAAAAAGTAGAGTTTGCCAGGGTGTTTTCTAATGGCTTCTCCTTGCCCTCTTCCTTCGGTGGCCTCTTCCCCTCCTCTCCTTGACCGTCGTGATATCTGTCTGGGTTCCCCCATTCTTCTTCTGTCCCCTTGCTGCGTAGGAAAGACATTAACAAACTGGCAAGTAGCTTTCAGAACTTAGTGGGTCACCTCTTCTACGGGCACTTTGGTTGTTAAAGGAAGTGATAGGAATCAGAGGATGCTTAACCAAAAGAAAGGATGAAACTGCTGGGGTGAAGGTACTTGGATGGTAAAGAGAGAGAGCTTTACGATTTGTCCTTCCACACCCCTCAAAGAAGTGCCACGGTGGCAACCACCTCCTTAGCCTGGCTGTCAGCTAACTCTGATGATAGCTAAAAAATATACTCCCCAAAAGAATTTCAGGAGATTTAGATGAGCTGTAAAGACAGAGCCCATATGACTACAAAATCCTGGCCATAGTCTTATTTATATTTTAAAAACAGATGAATGAATCCCATTACTTGAGAGGCAAGTTGTACATTTTTATTCCCAGGGTGAGCTTGAGTGATGAGAGTAGTAAAGGAACAGGGAATGCCAAGGGAAGAAGAATATATGGGTACACATATATGCTATATATGTGTGTGTGTGCATATGTGATATGTCACAGGTTATTGTACTAAATGGTGTTGATCGTGTTGCCAAGAATCATAGAGAAAATCTAGAAAATTTTAATTCCTTTCATTATTATCTTCTCTTTGTGTTCCACGCCCAGAACCTGTGAACTTTTCAGCCTCCGAATGGATTGTTTGTTTTTAGCTGTTTAACCAGTTGAACTTTGTGAACCCAGAGCAAACCCAGATGATTCCCTGACGGTGCTTAGAGCTGATCCATTTTTAGAGAAGCCTTGTGAGTGTTATTGACAAGATTTTGATGTTTTCAGTTTCCCTACCAGGCAGTTCTGTATGTATTTCTGTTGCTTAGTTGTATCCCTACAAATTTTCTTGTGTTATTTCAGTATATTAACTTGTATTGTATGCACTCTATTTTGCCATTCAGGACAATTATTCATTTTAATTTTCCTCTGATTAGTCTGGAGAATTATTACTATATTTATCAATACTGAGCCCAGCTATGAAGTATGTTCTTTTTTATTTCTTTTCCACATTTAATTTATTTCTCCCTCTCTTTTTTTATGAGGAAGATTGGCTCTGAGCTAACATCTGTTGCCAATCTTCCTCTTTTTGCTTGAGGAAGATTGTTGCTGAGCTGACATCTGTGCCAATCTTCCTCTAGTATTTTCTGTTTTTTAATTTCACCAAAACTCTAGAAGGCTCCCGCTATATCTAATGAAAAATTCTTGACTTATTTAACATTGTATTTGTTTATTACTTTCGATTCAGTTCCTTATGATTTCTTATGAATGTCAAATGGGAGAAACAATGTAAAACAAATTTAATATCTCTGCAACTCATAAAATCTTAAAATCTAATTTTAAGTTTGTCACAAAATTGAAAAACAACCCAAACTGTCCAAATGCAACTTCTTAGAAATGTTTCCAAATTGATTCCAAATATTCTTTTGTAGTTATGGGTCCTATTTCCCTCTATATATTTGTAAACTTTCATTTTTTTCCTGGAGTCTCAGAAAAGTGAGAGTTCAAACAAGTGCCGTATGATCATTGAAACACTTGCTCACTCCGGTGGATAAGAGCTTCCTGGTTACTTTATACATCTACTCATTGCATTTTAAAATCTCTCTTATGTACATCCTCTCCAAGAGATTATCAGGCTTATTCTTGAGTAAAAAAGGGGAATTACTAACTTTCAAAGCAATATATTGCATATTTGAGCAGCTATGGCAGAGACTGTTTCCTCCCAGGACTTTTCTCCCTTTGGTCTTCGTTCTGGAGTTATCTTGGAGTTATCACCCTTCTGGAGTTGTCTTGAGCATGTTTGGTTCTTCCATCAAATGTAAACCTTTCACTATTTTATGTCAGCCACTCTAGGCTCCCAGTCTTTTTTTCTTCCCTCCCAGGAACATCTTTTCCCATTTTCTTGGTCACTGCTTGCATTGTATGGCTGATGGCTGCTCTTGGAACATGTTCCAATTTGTACCCTTCCTGGAGAGTGGTCCCCCAAATTGGTCACAAACTCCACATGTGCCCACATAGAACTATCATCTTTCCTTTTTCTAAAATGATAAACTGTCATCAGTATATCCCAAGATTGCATATGAGGAATTTTGGACGTCATCCTTCACTGTTGACTCGTAGCAGGCTGTCTGTGGACTTCAGCCATAAGTCCTGTTCTCATCTCTCTGTGCTAAGCCCTTCACTACCCAGAACTCAAACTGTGTTTTGGGATTCAGGGCAGGACCTTAAATTTATCTCCTTTAAAACTCATTATGTATATTCATCCTGACTTGGAAAGATGTTTTTAGTCTTTATTGGGTCCAAAATCATAATCATTTATGAATTTATAATAATTTCCAACTTTCTACAAATTTAGCATCCCTACCTCCCATATTTTTATATGAATCATTGATAAAATTATTTGGTATGAGAGAATCAAGGCAACCTCTCTCTCGGTTGCCACTGACCCACAGATCAATACCCTTCGCATGTATTTCTTCAAAAATTACAAATGCATCTAACTGAATGATCATCCCACCCCCATTTTTCCATATTATCAACTAAGCTATTTAGAGAGACTGTAAAATGCAGACATCACATGTTCTGTATCTACTACATTTTCTTGGCCAGGCAGAGAAGGAAAAGTAGGTTATTCCGATGTGACCTCTTAATGAACCCATGCAAAATCCTGGTAGAAACTGTTAACTGTCTGTGTCCTCACAATAGTTCCCTATTCTCAAGTTGTGGTGGCTTTGATATGTGGCTCACTGTCCTTTGGAGTGTGCTGTTTCCACCTCCTTCCCTGTTTTGGGACTAAGACATTTGGTGGGTCTGCATCCTCAGCTCCTCGCTAGTCTGCCCATTTCTTCCCCAGCATGCTGCACATTCGCGTTTCTCTTAGCCATGGGAGATGAGACTCCTTCTGACGGAATTATATGTT